ATATGACAAGTTCACAAGAAGTTTTTTTTTTTTTTCTTTTTCGGTGCCTCGCCTGCAGAGGACTCCTTCGGAAGAAGCCGGCAAGGCGGACCCCAAGACCCCAGGCGCGGAAAGCTGCGACATCTTAGTAATAATAGTAACAAAAATTCGTCTTATTGTTTAGGAAAAATCGTAATTATAGTAATGTTAGTACGAATCTTAGTTATAGTAAGTCTAGCAATAATAATGCTTATAACTAGTAACCTCCTCCTAACTGACAGGGAACGACGTATTAAATTAATAGGGGTGTATTATAGGGGTTATTCAGGGGCATACTCGGAGTTTAGACTACAGCTCATATAGTCGCCTGTCAGTGGGGCTCTGGTCTACTTAGGGTCCGCTTTGTGGTTTCATGTTGGCTGTGGGAAAGGGTACCGTTTTCAGTTCGAACTTTCTGTGAGGCGATTCCTCGACTGGAAAGGAGGCGCATGAGAAGAGCCAGATTGAGATAGAGTTTTTGTGAACCTATCTTTGCTGACCTAGTCAGGACCTAGTCCGTACATCCATAGATCGTAATAAGCTCCCAAAGCCACTTTCGATCTTCAATCCGTGTATACATCTTTATATAAATGTATGAAACTTTGTCTATATGTGGGTAGGTAGATGTGCACCAAAATTTCTCAGGAGTCGTCGAGTGCAGGCGGGGTGCCGCAAAGCAGCTCCCCAGGCAGATCACGCCCGGCGGCAGCAAGCGGGAGTTTCTCAAAGAATGGGTATCCCAGTACAGATGTTTGGGGATTGCAAGCAGATTCTGCATCCTGCCGCTGCGAGTGCAACGGAGGCCATGGTGGCGAGAAGCCCGCCAGCGAAAAGGCCACCGACCAAAGCGCTGCCAGCGAAAAGACGGCCGGCGAGAAGACTGCCTGTCGGGCTCAGGACCGGTTCTTGAACGCTGAAGTATTTCACGAGGTAGCGCCTCATTACCACTCTCCCCAATGACACAAAGCCCTCAGCCCGAAAAGTTAAATGCCAAAGCCTGCTGCAAGGAAAGACTGAGACCTGGCACCGTGGTTGTCCTTTGCAACCTCAGGACCAGGGTTTTAGGGCTTGGTCCCTTTAAATGGGGCAAATTGGGACACCATATTGGGGTTATAGGGGATATATATATATATACACATAGGGTTTAGAGGTATATTACCCCCCAATACTGCTAGTGCAATTCTGGAATAACGAAATCATTTGGAGAGCTGCAGGGGCGGCATGCAAATTCAATGGTAATGCTGTTGTGGGTTTGAGAGCGGCGTTCCGTTCGAGGGGGTTACTGGATCATTTGAGCTGTAGTCTAAACTCCTTGAAGGGGGATATATAGAGGATATATAGGGGAGGATTATAGGGTTTTTTAAGGGGATACTAGGAGTTTAGACTAGAGCAATGAATCAGGAAGTGCTCGACCCTAAAATTGGAGCTCCACAGTCCAAAGCGGAAACCCTCAGCTGATCAATCCTAAGCACCTAGAGTTTATGGTTCAGGGTTCAGGGTCATGAATGCTTTGTTGTGCACAGAGGTGTCGGAAATCCCATGGTTTTTACGAAGACGCCGGTCATTAAAACTGATCTCTAAAGCCTTTCAAATATACCAAGAAACTCACATATTTCTACTTGACCACATAGAACTCCTTAAAGCCCCTTTTATGTTCCCACGAAGCCCCACATCAGAGTCATACATCCCGTCTACCCTATATTTCACATATTTCCCCATAGATCCTTGTATAGCTTTTTTTTTGGCCCTATATAGCCCTATATCCCTATACAACCCTAGCTACTATATCCCCTTGAAAGGTACTCCTAATTTTGGGAGTCAGAAATTGGAGATTTTCTGGGCCAGGACCAACCCAGAGCTCAACGAAGAGGTGGAGACAATCAGACTTCGTGGTTTAGGTTTTAGGTTTTAGGGTTCAGGGTTTAGGGATCAGGGTTTAGGGTCTAGGGTTTAGGGATTAGGGTTTAGGGTTTGGGGATTAGAATGGATTAGAGTTCAAGGCTGAAGGTTTAAGGCTTTAGGGAGGGGAGTTGAAGGGTAGTTTTTGGAGTTGATTTTTTAAGGTTTCTTGGCAAGATGGTACGTAGCTTTGAGGCAAACATATAGCCCCTTTTAAGTAGATAGAATAGTGGGTATATAGGGATCTTCACATAATATACCCAAATCCATATTTTTCCCCTTATTTAGAGGGTGTATAGACAAACTCTAGGGGACGCGCGGGTTAGGGATGGTTGCTGTGTCTTTTAGATAGGAGTTTCTCAAAACGTACTTACATGATCCCCCAATCCCCAATTTCTCGCTGGGGATAAACCCTGGCCCTTAACTAAAACTATATCCCCTATAATCCCTGTAGTTTCCATTTCATTTTCCATCATCCCAACAAAACCCCTAAATCCTCCTAAATCCTAAAGACTTGTCCCATGTTGGCTTCTGGATGTACGAGATGCGCAGGTCGCTGTCATCGAAGACTTCGACGCATCGTCTGGGAGGTACCTTTGAAAGTCTCGAGGGATCCTGAACCCCCTTAAGTAGATAATGGGTCATATAGGGGATATAGGGGTGATATATGGGATAATGGAAGAGAAAATGGATTTCTGTTTAAATTACAGTCCAGAATTCCTGACTCGTATGAGCTCTTTAGCCCAATGCAAGAGGCATCTCAAGCATTGCCCAGGTACGTCGTCCACTTCCTGTCCGCAGCTCTCCTAGCTTCCCCAGGAGTGAAGCCCCACAGTAGTTTCCATTTTATTTTCCATTATCCCACTATAACCCCAGTATAATCCTATAGTGGGGTAATGGAAAACAAAATGGAAACTACTATGGGGGTTATTTTGGTGCGAATCCCCTCTAAGGGTGCGGACGTATCTTAGGGCAGCGGTCCTCAGCCCAAGTGTCTGTGGCTAGCGGTTCATATTCTATCTACCTAAGGGGGAGTATACACTCGAAAAGGCTTAGGGTTGAGAAGCCTCTCCTTGCCGTCTCCCTGGCTCAATGTGGAAGCCTGAAGGACTAGTGCTTTAAACACCGCAGAAATAGATTGGAGGCGGCTTTTAGATACTATGGCACACCTTCAACTTGATATTTGGTAGTTTCCCAAATTAGGGGGAACCCAATATAGACCCCAAAATGATATAATCCTTCATATGGGGACTCCCAAACAGGTACCCCTAATTTGGGGAAATCCCTATTCAAGTCCTAAACACCAAACCATAAACCCTAAACCGTAAACCCTAAACTCCAAACCCTAAACCCTGAATAGTAGTTTCCATTTCCTCTCCATTATCCCAATATAATCCCCTCTATATTCCCTATATAATCCCTATATAATCCCCTATATCACCCCTATATAATCCCTATATAATCCCTCTATATTCCCTATATAATCCCTACATAATCCCCTATATCACCCCTATATAACCCCAATATAATCCCTATATAACCCCTATGTAATCCATGTATAATCCTTAAACCTCAACCCCTGATCACCGAGGAAGGCTTGGAGCCCCGGAGGCTCAAAGCCGAGAATCTGGTGGTCATGGAGGACTTAGCTTTAAGGTTTCAAGGTCCCAGGAATCAGGATTTTAGGGTTTAGGGTTTGAGGGTTTTTAGGGTTTAGGGTTTTAGGGTTTTAGCTTTGAGGTTAAGGGTTTTGAGGTTCAGCGGGCTGCTGCTGACCCACCCTTGAAGATAAACCTCCAAAACCCTACTATATCCCATTACAGTAGTTTCCATTTTATTTTCCATTACCCCTATATAATTCCTATATATACCCTATAATACTATAGTAGTTTCCATTTTATTTTCCATTATCCCATTATCCCAATATAACCCAAATATCCAAAAAGCAACGAGGATTCTGCTCGCGAGGACACGGCGTCGGGAGGCCAGGGTGTTTGGCAGCAGTCATAGGGTCGGGGGTGTAGGGTTTCTTACTGGGGCTTAGTAGGGAAGAAGGGAAATATTACATGGAGTTCCCTGATTCCCTATTAAGAACCAGTAGGGTTTTGGGGTCCGAGGTTCAAGGTTTAGGGCTTAGGGTTTACGGCTTAGTATTTAGGATTCAGGGTTTGGGTTTGGCGCAACCCTAAATCCTAAACCCTACATTTTAAATTCTAAACCCTACATCCTAGATCCAAAACCCTAAGCCCCACATCCTAAATCCTAAATCCTAAACCCTCAACCCTAAACCCTCAAAATTCCTCCCCTTGGGCAGATCTTTCAGGCCCGGACGCCGGTTCGGCATCCTCAGCCCCGTCGGCGAAAGACCGGAAGGAGATGCCTAAGCCAGACCGATGATTAATAGACCCCCTGACTATTAGGGATATATTGGGGTTATATTGGGTTTATTGGGGTTATATTCGGTTTATTTGGGCTTCTATTTGGTTTACTGGGGTTATATTGGGTTTATTGGGGTTATATTGGGATAATGGAAAAGAAAATGGAAACAACTATTTAGGGTTTAGGGTTTAGGGTTGTAGACCAATGGTTTGTAAACCCCTTCCCCTTAATGGGGATTATAATAGGGATCCCAACAAGGCCCACCAATCATGGGTCTACATTAAGCTTGTGCGGGAGTTTGTTTATCTTACTGGGGAAAAGGGAACATAATCCCCACAGAATTTTTCCTTGTTCCCTACGAAGAACCAATAAGTTTGGATTTGGGGGGTGGCTTGCATCTGTAAATCTACAGGTCAGAATGCTGGGTTTAGGGTGTCCGATTCCCTAAACCCTAAACCCGGTGGTGCCACATGGGTAGTTGCCAAAATAAGGGTCCCATTTGGGTACCCCTAAATATTACGTGCCGTAATATAATAGATACCCGAAAGGGGCCCATAATTTTGAGAACAACCGACATGATCTCGTGCGTTCAGATGCTATGCCCGAGCGGCTCTGTACTGGCTCTGCAAACTCTGCACCGTAAACCCTAAATGCTAAACCCATCTAAACTCTAACTCCTAGACTCTAAACCTCAAACCCTTAAACCCTAAACCCTTAACCCCTAAACTGTAGGCTATGGCTTTCTTTACAGAAAAGCCCCGGTGATTTCCTAGCATCCCTGTAGATATCCGCAGGATCCTCAGGAGCGCCCCGAGAGTGAGGAAAGTCCATCCCCGGTTTCTACCTGGGTAGCATTTTTATTTCGAGAGACTATGGTACCCAATATGGAGAACTTTTGGGTATAGCCTTTTATATACACTTTAATCTTACTCGGTTCAACCACCGAAGAAACACTCACCTGAGGACTCCTCGGAAGATGCCCACTGGGCTCCAGGACAGAGGGCAGGTGAGTGATTCGCGATTTCTATCTGGAGACCCAGCAGTCGAGACTACTGTTTTTTGCTTTGCGGCTCCCACTTTGGAGGGAGAGGTCATCAAGATGCTGAGCCTAATGGGGATACTGGTACTCTTATGTAACAGGAAGGGTGGTTCCATTTTCCTTCCAAGGCCTGCCAGCTGGAGAACTCTCGCCTCCGCTATGCGGACCTACACAAGAAAATTCCCTCTATATCCCTGGCCCGCGTGATTTCGATATACAAGGATGACGAAGCACTTAACCAAGGTGTGTGCACGCATGTACATGTCGGCTGCATCTGTGTACATGTATGCATATGATTCTTTTCATGGATATGTGGTATCCGCTTTTTGGTGCGAATACATGTTTGCATGCATGCATGTACACGCACAAGCAAGACGAGTGTACGTCGTACATTCATACATAGATCAATCTCGAACTCAGATTCTAGACCCTAGACTCTATACCCTTGCACCCTCAACCTTGGGGCCCTAGGGTTTTAGGGTTAGGGTTTAGGATTTAGGATGTAGGGCTTAGGTAATCCCCGCCCCCCTCACCCTTTCACACCGAAGTCCAGATTTCCGCGGAAGGAGGGGAGGATGCCGAAGTGGCAGAAGCCTTCAAGGTGCTGTTCTAAGCGTATTGAGAGTTAAGGGTTTAGGGTTTAGGGTGCCATTCCAGAAATCAGTCAGAAATCAACATGTAACGTCCATGTAGCATCCCGTTTCAGGACTGCAGAAGTGCGACCTTTGGGCTTCATGGGTTGCTTTGGGAAGTCTATGCAAGCGTTTCTGGTCTCAGGACACGATGCCGCTCTTCCACGACACCCTGTGGAAAGTCACTGCCATCGACATTGAGTTCACCCTTGCCAGAGTGATGCGAAGGGTGCCTTGGCAGGGAATAAGACAAACATCCGAATAGGAATTGTGGAAGGCTCCAGAAGAGTAGCCACGGTATCGTGCCTGAAGCGTTGTAGTAAGGAACATCACTGCAGTGATGGCAAATGCTGACCATAACAGTGCTTTCGTTGGTGGAGGTGCTGCGGGACATGTCCGTCGACAAGCCGACCCGGCAGCATCGAGCAGAGGCCGCATGCAGACCATGGTAGCGCAGGTATAATCCCTACATAGTCCGTTTATAATGTATGCCCTTATTTTCCAGGGTTTCTGGGAATCTGGCTGGTTTGCAAGATTAGGGTAAGGGCATGGCCCAAGTAGTACCCAGGTGACAGCCTGTAGCCTCTTAAGCATGATATTAAGGTGAATAGCACTACTGATGGCCACTACTGTTTCGTAAGATACTTACCAATTTTGGTAATTCTTTTGATGAATAGGTCACCCTAGCAACAACAAGTCCTCCAGTCGAACTGCCTTGCTTGCACTTTGTCTGCAACAGCTATAAGCTCTGCGTGCGCCCGTAAAGTTTAGAACCATCAAGCAACCCTAAGCCCTCCAAGCTAGAGTCTGAGATCCTAAAACGCTCAGCCGTAAGTCCTGAGCCCCAGACATGAACAACCAAACTCCCTGAATGCTGAGCTTTAAAATAAATCGCAGACCCAGTCCGTGGCACAGGCGCTTCGCAGCTTGGGCAAGATCATGCAGGCAGGCAGATGTGCAAGGCAGTTTCCTCTCTGTCCGTAGCAAGTGTGAGTTTTCTTTGGGGTTTAGGGCTAGGGTTTAGGGCTTCGGGATTCTGATTGAGCTGTATCTGTTTAGGCATGTAGGTAGCAGATGGCACCACCTGATTTTTATGGGGCAGGTAGCATGACCTTGCGGCGCAGTGGGTTGCATGTACCAGGAGCCCATGAAGGAGAGGCAAGCTGATCAAAGCTCTGCTAAACTCGCCGTCGAGGAGGCGCGGTTGAGGGTTTACTCGCTGGTGCTGCTGGGTGGGTGAATGGATCCCGCTGTTTTCCGATCCCTAGGAAATCCCCATGCACGCCTGGAACACGCTGTCTACACTTACTACCCCATGAGGTACCAGAAAGTTCAAGGGTCCTCATCCCTGTTCTGCTGTTTGTTGCAGAACTCTGCGACCCAGGCCCCGCATGTGGAGAGACGCCTGAGCTCCAGGCAGGGCTCCAAGTAGAAACTTAGGGAGCTTACATATAGGGGTTATATTATAGAGATAATGGAAAAGAAAATGGAAACTCTATAATGGGGTTATATTTAGGGTTCAGAGTTTCTATTTTATGTAGGGTTTGAATTCAAAAATGGTTTATGGTTTAGGGTTTAGGGTAGGTACTTCTCAAGAGTAAGGTCCATGCTACAATAATCTCTACGATGCTCCTACGTTTTCCTTCCTGACCTTACAAGACACACCAGCCGACACATTCCGAAAATCTGTTATCATGAAAGGATCCTCCAAAGAGCCGGAATTCACGAGAGACCTGACACCCAAGCTCAAGAAAGCCTGAGCCCCACCCTCCAAAACACCTAAACCCAAGCCCTAAACCTCCAAACCTTGCAACCCTAAGCCCCAAGCTAAAAGCCACCCAAAAGACGCCAAAGCCCAGACATCCGAACCCTTAAGCATGGGCAGGTCTTCCATTCTCGCGCGGCTGCCTCGCGTCTCTTGGCGTTCCAGAAAGAGCGAAGCTAAGCAGGCGCCACGAGACAGAGGTTGAGGGTTGAGAGTTTAGGGTTAGGAGTTTAGGGATTATAAGGGCTCAGGGTGAAGGGTTGAGAGTTTTGAGTTTAGGGTTTACAGTAGGCTATACGTAATTTCCGACCAGGGGGGGGGGGGCAATTTAGACCCCAACATATTCGGGACCCAAAATGGTTCCCATAATTTTTCGAAACCCTATATAAACCCTATATAACCCTTCGAAACCCCTGTTGACATGAACCCGAAGGTACCCATATTTTTGCGAACTCCCTATATGGCTTACGAGGGAGACCTGCCCAAGTTCGCATGGATTAGGGTTCAAGGTTTTGTTTAGGGTTTAGGGTCTGAAGTTTAGGGGGTTTAACGGCTTCAGGTTTAAAGCTTCGGTTTCAGGGCTGAGTTGGGGTCCGCCAAATGTGCTCCCTCCCTCAACCACTGTAGGACTTCGTATCGGCAATTTCTCGAAGATTGGTGATCTATCTTCCATGTCTGCCTGGCAAGCATTCAAGTAAATTCTGCATGATGCACGGACCAAACGGGACAGTCATCCCGAAACCCTACCTTAACCATCAACCCCACGCCCTAACCCCGTGTGATGCAATGATGCTAGTTGTCCAGCAATGGTCCTGAGTTTTGTACAGGCTTTTCTCTCCAGAGAGGTATTTACCATGTTCTTTGCAACAAGGGTTCAGAGCTTGAGATTTGAACCCTAAACACCTAAAACCCAAACCCTGGAATCCCTAAACCCTAAACCCTAGACCCCCAGTGGCATAATGCCTGCAGGCGAAGACAAAGCAGCAGGAAGCGAAGCAGAAACAGATGGAGGCCTCAGAAGGGTTTGGGGTTTAGGGTTGCTCCTAAGGAACTTATGTAAGTTACCATGGTATGGATATGGTAGTTTCCCTATTAGGGGGACCCCAATATAGACACCCAAAGTACTATAGCCCTTATTCTAGGGACACCAAAAAGGTATCCCTAATTTCGGGGAACCCCCCCCCCTAATACAACATATAATCGGGTTTCTTTATTTGTAACTTAAATCAAGTTCCTTAAATCACATATTCCACCAATTTCCATTTAATTTTCAATTTTCTATTCCATTTGATTCTCCATTATAGGGAGATTGTTACGTTCCTTAACAGCAACGCAGCCTCGGAAGATGCAAGGCAATCCTTCTTTCCCTTCAAAGCTAGGGTGTTTAGGGTGTGTATGGTGTTTATGGTTTAGGGATTTAGGGCTTAGGGTCTAGGGTCCCAAGGTTGAGCGGGGGTTAAGGACTTCAGAGCTACAGTTTCGGGATTAGGGTTTAGGGTTTTAGGGTTTAGAGTACCCCAGACCCAGAATAGTTGAAATCTTGAAAGCCAGACAATCCCTGGCCACAAACTGTGAAGCATCACGCCTTGACTCCTCAACGTTGGACCCTAAAACCGGAACCTGGGACTTACACCCTAAAATCTGAAATGTCCTAGCCCAGTGGCTTGAACGATTGCTGTCTGCGGTTAATGGAGCATTTCAGAGACAATGGGGGAATTGAAGGGTTTCAGGACTTGACTATCTGAATTCTTTCGCTCGCCCGATAAGCATCTAGACGCATTTCCTCAGGTACAAAAAAAGCGCTGCGAAAACAGCACGCAAAGCCACGACCCCAAACCCAACACGCTGAAGCTAAAACTGAGCCTTGGTTGCTGTTGAAGAAGCTAATCTAAGTTACTATAGTGGGGAAACCATCTTAATCACTATATACCCATACCTGCTATGGTTACTGCATGGGTTATAGGGGTTATTAGCCTTTAGTAAGTCCCCCTGACCCCCCAAGTACATCCCCCAAACCTGAAAACCCTCAACCCTAAACCCTATGGTAGCTTAGTTTAAGGTCCTTAACCCTATATACCCGTATTTACCCCTATATACCCATATATACCCATATATACCCCTACATTATCATTCCTTAACAGCAACCCAGGAACCCGCCATCCCAGCGGCTTCACCCAGCCTAATGTAGACCCCTGATTAATAAACCTCCTTCCTTTTAAGGGCCTTAATATAAGGATCCCTATTAATAAGCCTATACAACCCCAATATATACCCCATTATAGTTATGGTAGTTTCCATTTTCTTTTCCATTATCCCTATATAACCCCAATATATATATATATCCCTGTTAAGGGGAGGGGGTTTATTAATCAGGGGTCTACACTAGCTATCTCTCGAGGCGGCTCTCGTCTTGATGGCCGCCGGTGCCTCCACCGAGGATGTGGACGAGATGTTGGCAGCGAGGTGGCGGTCGTTTGTTGGGTTTTCAGGTTTGGGGTTTGGGGTTTAGGATTTTCATACATGCGTACATACATTCATGCATGTGTACGCGCACATCAGTACACTACATACCTTCATACACAGATATGTTACAAAGAGAGGTGATTACGTCAAAGACGACTGCTTGTAGAAACCTGGCAATGCGCAGTACACTTGGCTACGCTCAGCAGCAGCTTTGTGGGCGCATTGGCATAGTATTGCATAGTAGCAGCTGCCAAAACCAGATGTCTTTTTTTTGTGTGTCCGGGGCATGTCCCGGAGGAATCCTGAGTTAGACAATACCCCTCAGCACGGCTTAAATGTAAAACCTGAGCTCTAGAACCTCAACCTCCCCCTATAACCCCTAGGGGATAAATCGCGAAGAATGCAAAGTGTTTTAATTAATCCTAAACCAGAAATCCTAAATCCTAAGCCCTAATCCCTATAACCTGAATCCCAATCCCTAATGCCCAATCCCCAATCCTTAAATCCTAAACCCAAATCCCTAACTAAAACCCTAGATCCTAATCGCCTGACCAGATCTGCCATGGAGTCTGAGCTTGATCCGTTTCACAGCGCCGTGTAATTTGCGGCTCGTTCTCTGCGAGGTTGCCGCTAGGTTGGCTGCTACTTACTGGTGCTTAAGTGGGGTTATAGTCCCCCTGAAGTAGATAGAAATGGCTCTGGGTAAATTATAGTAAGATCCCTATATACCCCATATTCTATCTACTTAAGGGGGGGATGATAAAGTGATGCCTAAACCCTAAACCCTAAATTTAGGGTTCTGGAACTTGGGCTGAGGAATATGATTTAGGGATTATGGCTTTAGGATGTTTAGGGTCGGGAATGCATGCTATCCATGCCTCCAGTCTCTCTTAAGCACCAGCAAGACTAGGTGGGCAGTTGTCAAAATTCTGGTCCCTTTTCTTGGAACCCGGGCACCAGCACATGATACCATGCTGTAATAAGTTCGAAAAGGGACCTTGATTTTGAGAACCTCCCAGGCCCCTTGTTCACAGCATGATTTTCCTGCCCCCCAGTGCCACCTTGCATTCGCGTGGTTATGGCGACATAGGCTGACTGCTTCTGCACATCGCCCTGCTGGTCTCGGTACCGTGTATAGTCCCCCTTAGGTAGATAGAATATGGGGTATATGGGGATCTGATTATACTATCGCCAAAACCATATTCTGTCTACTCAAGGGGGACTATAGGTGCGCTGCGCAAGCCTCTCCGACATGACCATGGCTCAAGCTGCACATGTGTACTTGATCTTGCGCGAAGGTCCACAGCAACCTACCCTTCAAACCCACGGCCGTTGTAAGTCACGTCAAGCAGATAGAACCAACCTAGGACTGCCGATGCTTCCCATGTCCTACCTGGCCTTTCCACTCCGAGAGCCTACACATTCCAAGCGCACTGCTCTTACAGCAGCTAGATGGCTTTGAATTTGAATACTACAGCAAACAAAAGGTTCAAAAGATAGCCAATGGTCAAATCTCAAAATAAGGGGAACTTGTCGAAGTGATACAGGAAAGCCCTAAGCCCCAGGTAGTCCTCTACCCCGACCCTAAACCCTACACCCCAAAGCCCTGAACCCTAGTCCTAAATCCTAAGCCCCACACCCTAAAACCTAAACCCTAAATCCTAAACCCTTATCCCTGGTCCCGTGTTGGAGAGCTGATGTAAGAATCATGACAGAGACCGCACCTGGCGTCGTCGACTTCAAGGCTTCCATGGGCTAGGATTCAAGCTTTCAGGGTTATATTGGGATAAGGGAAAAGAAAATGGAAACCCCTAGGGTTTAGGGTTTAGGGTTGGGGTTATATTGGGATAATGGAAAAGAAGATGGCAACTACTATAGTATATTGGGGTTATATTGGGATCATGGAAAAGAAAAAGGAAACTACTCTGGGAAGAGAAGTTTTGCTTGTTGCACTTGCATTCCGACGAGTC